GGAGAACAGAAGCAGTGTATCACACAGGGAGCACCGTCTTTTCACACACATCTGCCCCTTCCTATCACATTCTTCCAACAGTCTACAAATAGATTCGTCAGTGCATTTTGCAAAGTTTATTTTCCTCCCTTTATTCACTCACAGGATGAGGGTGTCGCTGACCAGGCAGCATTTATTGCCCATCCCTAATTGCCCAGAAGGCAGTTAAGAGTCAACCACATTGCTGTGGGTCGGGAGTCACATATAGGCCAGACCAGGTAAGGGTGACATATTCTTTCCCTAAAGGACATTAGTGAACCAGATGGGCTTTTCCCCACCCCCAACAATCAACAATGGATTCACGTTCATCATTAGATTCTTAACTCCAGATATTTTATTGAATTCAAATTCCACGATCTGCCGTGGCAGGATTCAAACCCAGGTCCTCAGAACATTATCTAGGTCTCTGGATTAACAGTCCAGCGATAATATCACCAGGCCATCGCCTTCCCACAAGTGACAAGAATTAGATTCATTAAACAGCTCTCAAAAGAGATGAGAAGTCAGGTGTTTGCTGTACTGGTTCAGCCATTTCTCATGTCCCTTCGAAAAGCAAGAAGTGAAAACTTCCTTTTATAGCCATCATTTTTCAGCCAAGACTCTGCCAACTCGTTCGGAGCTTGTTGCCACTTTCCACACAGACTAACAGTCAAGTGAACATCCCAGAGGGGCTGGTGGGGGGTGGTGGGGGGGGTAGCGCATGGCATTTACATTCAGCTGCCGTGGGGAAATGGAGTTATTTTGCAGTGGGTCACTACGTTCGGGCAACATGATGTGGTTGCTTGCATGTTCAACTTTATCTGATTGAAGGCACCATCATTCTGAACAGTGTGCTATTTTAGTGTCATATTTCGGATGTTTTGCCCTCCAGCAATCTTGGACTGAATCTCAATCTGCTGTAAGGCACAGGCACTAATTGAGGAACTTGCTTAGCCCAGTTGGCTGGATGGTTGGTTTGCAATACCATACAATGCTAACAGTGTGGGTTCAACTCCTGCACTGTGGGATTGCCATGAGGGACTCTCTTTCTCAACCTCTCCCCTTGCCTGAGAGGTGGTGACCCTCAGGTGAAACCACCAATAGATTCCTCTCTACTAAGACAGCAGAGATATACTGACTTTACCTTTTTATATGAGGAACTTTAATTTTTACAATGGCATTGAAAGAAAATACATTCATTGCAAGTTAAATTAATATGACAATTATTCACAGCCCTAGACAATGAGGCTTATTTACAATATTTTGAGTTGATCCACTTCACATTACACTTTTACACCAAGACTGATGAAAGACAGCATGGACTGAGGATTCCAAAATATCGTGGTTACAGTACACTGTTCTGAAGAAGAACTGCTGGACTCAAACGTTAACTCTGTTTCTCTTCCCATAGATGCTGCCAGACCTGCTGAGTTTCTCCAGCAATTTCTGCTTTTTTTTTAGCAGGTTTCACTTCTTGAGATAGTCTTCTCACATCAATATTCAAAACAGAAAAAAAATCCTCAGAATGTATTCATTTGCTTTCATATTTGGCATGTTATTAAGTTGATTTCGGCCACTTTAAGATGACAGTATTGTGCATGCTCATCAAGGCAAAATGTGTTCATTGCACAGAATAGATCTGAATTGCAGGCACCACTGTCAGTAAGAAGCAACCCATTTTTAAAAAATTCATTAACAGGATGTGGGTGTTGCTGATTAGACCAGCATTTACTGTTCCACCCCTAATTGGGTGGCACAGTGGCTCTGTGGTTAGCACTGCTGCCTCGTGGTGTCGAGGAACTGGGTTTGATTCCAGCCTCGGGCCACTGTCTGTGTGGAGTTTGCACATTCACCCCGTGTCTGTGTGGGTTTCCTCCCACAGTCCAATGATGTGCAGGTTCGGTGGATTGGCCATGCTAAATTGCCCCATAGTGTCCAGGGATGTGCAGGCTAGGTGGATTAGCCATAAGAAATTTAGGGGTGGGGGGGATGGGTTGCCTCTTAGAGGGTTGGTATGGGCTGAATGGCCTCTTCCACACTGTAGGGATTCAATGATTCTAATTGTCCAAGGACCACAGTGCTGTGTGTCTAGAGTCATATGTAGGCCAGACCAGGTAAAGATGGCACATTTCCTCCCTTAAAAGTCATTAGTGAACCAGATGGGTATTTCCCCTCATAACAGTTTCATCTTTAGATTCTGAATTTCAGATTCTTTCAATATAATACAATTTGCCATGGTGGGTTTTGAACTCACGAACATTAGCTGGAGCTCTGGGTTTTTAAAGACTAGCAATAATACCACTCAGCCACTACCTCCCAATCACGAGTAGATATACAGTTACAAGTCAAGTCTGGATGAGGAGCTCAGTCTGTGAAGCCACAATATTAATACAGTGGCAGAATAAAACTGCTGTTTCGCTTGAACTCTGATCTCAGAACAGTGAACTAAACCTTCTCATTCATTGGTCATCCTTCTGGTACCCTCCTGTGTGACTCTAAATATAATGTTGATGTTTGCATTATTACTGCACTGAGCTTAGTTAAATACACATGATTCAGAGGTAAGTCTCATCTCCGTAATTAAAAAAGAGATAAGGTACACCTTTACAGCACATCTCCCCTGTTATTGACAGCTGTTTACACACAGCAAGCTGAGAACAGAATCGTCTGATCTTCTGTGACGTTGGTTGAGGGACATTTATTGGCCAAAGATAGCTCTCCTTCCAAGTAGTACCACGGGACATTTATATCCAGGTGAGAGAGCAGATGGGAGGCACCCAGTTTAACATCTCACCTGAAAGACAGCATTGTGAACTGTACAGAACTCTCACAAAACTGCACTCGAGTGCCAGCTGAGATTGTGCACACAGTCCCAGGAGTGGAACTTGAGCACACAACCCCAAAACAACAGTGTAAGCACTAAGCCACAGAAATCAATGATGGGTGCAGGACTTTGCGATTTTGACTTTATTAACTGGTCTTTCACTTTGGTTTCTCAACAACAATAATAGCTATAAATTTCTCTGATAGGACTCTCGGCAGTGAGGAGGAACAGAGAGATCTTGGGGTTCACGTCCATAGATCCCTCACAGTTGCTACCCAAGTTGATAGGATTGTAAAGAAGGCGTATGGTGTGTTGGCTTTCGTTGGCAGGGGAATAACCTCAGAGCCACGAGGTTATGCTGCAGCTCCTTAAAACTCTGGTTAGACCACACTTGGAATATTGTGTACAGTTCTAGTCACCTCATTATAGGAAAGATGTGGAAGCTTTAGAGAGGGTGCAGAGGAGATTTACCAGGATGCTGCCTGGACTGGAGGGCAGGTCTTATAAGGAAAGGTTGAGGGAGCTAGGGCTTTTTTCATTGGAGCGAAGAAGGATGAGAGGTGACTTGATAGAGGTGTACAAGATGATGAGAAGCATAGATAGAATGGATAGTCAGAGATTTTTTCCCAGGGCAGAAATGACTATTACGAGGGGGCATAGTTTTAAGGTGATTGGAGGAAGGTATAGGGGAGATGTCAGAGGTAGGTTCTTCACACAGAGAGTGGTGGGCGTGTGGAATGCGCTGCCGGCAGTGGTAGTGGAATCAGATACTTTAGAGACTTTTAAGCGACTCTTGGATGATAGGAGGATAGTAAAATGTAGGGTATGCAGGGTAGATCGATCTTAGTGGGATAATAGGTCAACACAATATCGTGGGCCGAAGGGCGTGTACTGTGCTGTACTGTTCTATGTTCTATGTTTTGTTTTTTAAATAAGAGGTGCTGGAAATTAGTGAGTGTGACAGTAATTTTGCAGAGAGAAACATATCCACCTCTTATCAGAAGGACTCAAACAGCCTGAAACGTTAACTCTGTCTCTTGATCCACAGATGCCACCACTTCTGCTGAGTTTCTTCAGCACCTTCCGTTTTTATTCCAGATTTCCAGAATGCGCAGTATTTTGATTTTAAGATTTCTCAAACCCATTTCACACATAAAATAACCTTTGATCCCATCAGTCCAATTGTTAGCTAAATTCAGGTCCCAGAGTTGACAGCATTAACCAGTCCCTTTCTCAAGGACAAATGTTAGCTAGTCAGCCATGCTCACGTCCTATCAAAGAATAAAAGGTTGTTGAAAATCAAAAAAATTACCAGCATAAATTGAGAGTTCACGTTGAGGAGGAGAAAAATCTGCTCCCTATAAAGTTGTTTAATTGACTGAAGTCGATTAAATTTTTCAAAACTGTAAACATGGACTGCACAATGGACTGTGTGGAGTTTGCACATTATCCCTGTGTCTGCGTGGATTTCCTTAGGGTGCTCCGGTTTCCTCCCACAGTCCAAAGATGTGCAAGTTAGGTGGATTGGCCGCGCTAAATTGCCCGTAGTGCTCAGGGGTGCATAAGTTAGGTGGTTTAGCCATGGGAAATGCAGGGTTACAGGGACAGGGTAGGGGATGGGTCTGGGTGGACTCAATGGGCCAAATGGCCTGTTTCCACACTGTAGGAACACTATGTTTCTATAATACCCTGATGGGAAATTTGCCCAACTTCATTTTGTATGCCCCCAGTGAGACACCCTCCAGTACTGGCATCAACTTGTGGCGAAACAGATTAATCAAAATGGAAAGAATTTTACAGAAGAAAGCTGAGACCTTGCCTTTTGTTTCAAGAACAGGCATCTTAAACCTGGTTGACAGACAAGAACCTGTAATTATACAGTGCCTTTCACATAATGAAACAATTCTTAGGTCTAAAGGGATTGAAGGGTACGGGGAGACAGCGAGTTGGATGATCAGCCATGATCATATTGATTGATTGATTTTTTGTCACGTGTACCGTAGCACAGTGAAAAGCTTTGTTTACGAGCAGTACAGGCAGATCACAGTAAGCAACGATGTACAGATCAAAACAACTTAGACAGAGGCATACTGGTTACATTGCACAGTGCATGCGCTAGGCGAGATCAACATTGGCAAGATCAACATTATTTGAGGCTACAGAGTCCATTCATCAGTCTGATAACGGCCAGGAAGAAGCTGTTCCTGAATCTGTTTGTGCGTGTGTACAGGCTTCTGTATCTTCTGCCTGATGGAACAGGTTGTAGGAGGTGATTACCTTGCTCCTGCTCCTATTTTCTACGTTTGTAAGGTGCTTTACAGGAGCATTAGAAAACAAAACATGACTCAACGCTATACATGGGACATTGGGGAAGATGACTAAAAGCTCAGCCAAAGAGGTAGGTTTTAAGGAGTGTCTGATAGGAGGAAAATGAGGTACAGAGGCAGTCGGGTTGTAGGGAGGGAATTTGAGGATTGAGTTCCTCAAAAATTGAGCGACGATACAATAATTTACCTTTGTCGATTTGTCAATCATCGAAATCTTTGAGATTTGGCTTCCTGTGATTGTCCATTGTCTGCAAAGCCAATCTTGCCCCATCTCAAGATGGTTGCCCCCACTTTTTTTAAGCAGAGCAATTCTTAGACACAAAATACTGATCAATTCCCACCTCTTGGGAAGATGTGCTTCATTTCCCCGGGAATGTTAGGTATCAAATCAACTCGGCGTTATGAAGCTTCGCTGTATCATTTCTTTTTGTAGGATTCGTCTTCAGGATTGCGTGAGGTTTAATGTTCGATCAAACCCTGGAAGTTGAGGTGCCTCACGCTACATAGTCGGCTTGAAAGCTCGACGATCTTGTCTTAGGACTGCACTTGGTGAGCATTGAGACCTGGGTGGCGCAGTTGGTGCCATTGCTGCCCATGGATGGATGGTGATACTTCAGGTTCCCTCCCACGTACCTCTCAACATGCCATCGCCTCCACTTCCTCTTCAGCTCCGACTGAACCTACACACAGATGACAACGTCAATTACAAGACCATCAAACGCAGGAGCAGAAGTTGGCTATTCGGCCCATTGAGTTGTGGTTGATTTGATAATCCTCAACCCCACTTTTCCTGCCTTTTCCCCATAACCCTTGATTCCCTTACTGATTAAAAATCTGTCTATCTCAGGCTTGAATTTATTTAATGACCCAGTCACAACAGCCCCTCTGCGGTAAAGAATTCCACAGATTTCACAGTGCGGAGCAAAGTGAGCCCTGAGGTGATGCTAGTGAGGTAGGCCCAGTGACAAAAGATGGTGCCTGAGGATTGGTGACTTTGTCATTGGCTGGGTCCGGCATTGGCAGCGGCAAAGTGGTGGTAGGAGGGCACCATGGCGATGGTCTCTGACCTCGGTGTACCCGGTGCAGATGGTAGTGAAGGTGAATTGGCCCAGCAGTGAAAGATGGTGGGTCAGGATTGGTGGCTTCAACGTTAGTTGGGACTTGGCAAAACAGTAGTAGCTCAGAGTTGGTTCAGAACTCGTACATAGATGGACTTCCCTTTAAACTATCTCTTTTCATTTTCTCTTACTCTCAAACTGTCAAAATGGTGCCGGATTATGCCAACAAATTAAAACATTTCACTGAATTTTATCGTATTTCACTGTAAAACACACATGACATTAAATCATTCTTCATTTAGATTCCCTCCCCTCTGAGAGAAGAAATTCCTCCTCATCTCTGTCTTAAGTGTGTAACTCCTTATTCTAAGGAGGAATTTCTTAAGTGTGTAATTCCTTATTCTAAGGAGGAATTTCTTCTCTCAGAGGGGAGGGAATCTGAATGAAGAATGATTTAATGTCATGTGTGTTTTACAGTGAAATACAATAAAATTCATGTAACCCCTTATTCTGAGACTGCACTCTCTGATCCTAGACTCTCCCATGAGGGGAAACAAGCTCTCCACATCTACCCTGTTAAGTCCTCAAGAATCTTGTATGTTTCAATAAGGTCGCCTCTCATTCTTCCAAGCTGTAATGAGTACACGCCTAACCTATTCAACCTCTCCCCATAAGACAGTCTCTCCATATGTGGGATCAGCTCAGCGAATCTTCTCTGGACTGTCTCCAATGACAGTACATTTTCCCTTATCAAAGGAGGCCAAATCTGTTCACAGTATTCCAGCTGTGATCTGACCCGTGTCTTGATAAGGGGGTTGGAGGGATTTGCTTAAGAGGAGAAGTTGAGTAGGTTGGTCCTTATTGGAATTTAGAAGAAAGAAAGATGACCTTATTGAAACATTTAAGATTCTTAGGAGGCCTCACAGGGTCAATGCAGAAAAGTTGCTTCCCCTTGTGGCAGATTAAGCAACTCTAGAATACTTGGGTTTTATTAATCCTTCTCTCTACCTGTCCTGCCACATTTCAAGATTTACGCACATATAAGGCCGGGTCTTTCTGCTTCTGCAGACCTTTTGGAATAGTACACTGTCCTTATTCCTCTGTTTCTGTGTTCTCTGTACAAAAATGTATCACTTCACACTTCTCCACACTGAACTCCATCCATCTTCTGATTTTTGATTTGATTTGATTCATTATTGCCCTAGGTACAGTGAGAAGTGTTGTTTTGCGTGTAGTACAGGCAGATCATGCCATACAAAGTGCGTTAGGGTAGCAGAACACAACGAGGAATACAGAGAAGGTGCACAAACAGCGTGATCGACATTAAGTTTAAAATTTGAGGTGTCCTTTCAGAAGTCTAATAATAGCGGAGAAAAAGCTGCTCTTAAATCTGTTGGTCCCTGTGTTTAAACTTTTGTATCTACTGCCTGACGGAAGAGATTGGAAGAGATTATAACCTCTGTCCAATCCACTGAATTTCCATTTTTTTCAAGTTCTACACTATCTGCTTCATGGTTTAAATTTCTTTTGTATCCTCCACAGACTGAAAATGTCCCCTGCACACCAAGATCCAGATCAATCAAGAAAAGCGAGAGTCTCATACCAGTCCCTGGGGAACTCCACTACAAACCTTCCTTCAGTCTGAAAAATATCCATTGACCATGACTTTCTGTTTCCAATTTTGTATCCATGTAGCTACTGTCCCTTTTCCACAGCTGATAACTTTTCTCAGAAGTGTGTTGTGTGGCGCTGTATCAAGTACCTTTTGGAAACCAATATATATGATAACGCAGATCGATGTCACTTTTTCTCTTACCTCTCCATTCAGGAAACAGTACAGCACGGCTACAATGAAACCCTGTGGAAAATAACAAGTGGAAGACATTGTTATCACAAAGGCAATGTTTCACCATCTGAGCAAGGTACAATCCATGATTCAACCCTCATGAATCTATCGCAAAAAAACCCCTGAAAACAAGGAGAACCAATTCATCCACACCTGCTTGCAAAACTTTTAACAGGTAGGTTAAAGTTTAACCATGCGACTGACTTAATTACAAACTCTGCCAGCATTTTGGAAAGGGCAGGACTTATACAGTTAATGGTAAAGTCCTAGGGTGTTGCTGAACAAAGAGACCTTGGAGTGCAAGTTCATAGTTCCTTGAAAGTGGAGTCGCAGGTAGACAGGATAGTGAAGAAGGCATTTGGTACACCTGCCTTTATTGTTCACTGCATTGAGTATAGGAGTTGAGAAGTCATGTTGCGGCTGTACAGGATGTTGGTTAGGCCATGTTTGGAATACTGCATTCAGTTCTGGTCTCCCTGCTATAGGAAAGATGTTGTGAAAATTGAAAGGGTTCAAAAAAGATTTACAAGGATGTTGCCAGGGTTGGATGGTTTGAGCTATAAGGAAAGGCTGAATAGGCTGGGACTATTTTCCCTGGAGAATCAGAGGCTGTGGGGTGACATTGTGGAGGTTTATAAAATCATGAGGGACATGGATATAGGGTAGATAGACAAGGTCTATCTTACCCAGGGTATGGGAGTCCAAAACTAGGGGACATACGTTTAAGATGAGAGGGGAAGATTTAAAAGGGACCTAAGGGGTAACATTTTCACACAGAGGGTGGTGCGTGTATGGAATGAGCTGCCAGAGGAAGTGGTGGACTCTGGTACAATTACAACATTTAAAAGGCATCTGGATGGGTATATGAATAGAAAGGGTTTACAGGGATATGGGACAACTGCTGGCAAATGGGACTAGATTAATTTAGGCTATCTGGTCGGCATGGACAAGTTGGACCAAAGTGTCTGTTTCCGTCTGTACAGCTGCATGACTCTACTTTTACTTCATAAATTCTTTCATAGCGTTTACTGCCTGTTCTAATTGCCCTGGAGAAGGTGATGGTGAGCTACCTTTTGAACCTCTGCAGTCCGAGTGATGTGGGAGTGGTACAGTGCTGTCCTCTGCTTGTTTTTAAAAGGCTTCCCAGTTCTCCGCTTCGCACTAAATCTTCACCACGTTGTGTGCTTTTTCCTTTTGCTTTCATACTGTCCCTGACCTCCCCCTTGTCAGCCACGTTTGCCTCATCCTCCCCTTAATATGTTTCTCCTTCCTTGGGATGAATTTCTGCTGTGACTTCCGAATTACTCCCAGAATCTCCTGCCATTGCTGCTTCAGTGTCTTCCCTGCTAGGCTCCCCCTTCCAATTAACTCTGGCCAGCTCCTCCCTCATGTCTTTCCAGTTGCCTTTACTTAGCTGTAATACTGTTACATCTGATTCCAGCTTCTCCCTCTCAAACCGCAGGGTGAATTCTATCATATTGTGGTCATTGCCCCCTAGGGGTCCCTTCACCTTCAACCCACTAATCAAATCTGTCTCATTACACATCACCAAATCCAGAATTGTCTGTTCCCGAGTGGGTTCTACCACAAGCTGCTCCAAAAACAATCCATCTCATAGACATTCCACAAATTCCTTTTCTTGGGATGCACAACCATCCTGATTTTCCCAGTCCATCTGCATGTTGAAGACCCCCATGATTATTGTAACAGTGCCTTTCTTACATGCCTTTTCTATCTCCTGATGTATTTTCTGCCCCACTGCTCTGAACAGGGTCTTTTTCCTTTTGCAGTTCCTCGACTCAATTGGCACAGATTTTACACTTTCCAACTCTATATCTCTTCTTGTTGTCAATTTAGTTTCAACTCTTACTAACAAGGCAACTCTGCCCACCTGTCTATCCTTTCAACAGAACGTGAAACTTTGGAAATATTTAGTTCCCAGCTCTGATACCAATGCAGCATCTCTCTGTGGTACTGAATATGAAAGGGGCATGGTTAGATTCTCTTGCTGAGGGTAGTCCTTGATTCAAACGGGCAACATTTGCATCACACAAGTGTGTCCTTCTCCAAGAAGAGAGAATCTAACCACTGCCTCTTGACATGCAAAGGTGTTACCATTACAGAGCAGCCTACTTGATTGGCACCACATCCACAAACATCCACTCCCTCCACCACTAATACTTAGTAACAGCAGTGTGTACTACCTACAAGAAACACTGCAGAAATTCACCAAGGATCCTTAGACTGCAATTTCCAAACCCACGACCACTTCCATCTACAAGGACAAGAGCAGCAGATACATGAGGACACCACCCCCTGCAAGTTCCCCTCCAAGCCACTCACCATCCTGACTTGGAAATATATCGCCATTCCTTCACTGTCACTAGGTCAAAATCCTGGAATTCCCTCCCCAATGGCATTGTGGGTCAACCCACAGCCCATGGACTGCGGTGGTTCAAGAACACAGCTCACCACCACCTTCTCAAAGGACTACTAGGGATGGGCAATGAATGCTGGCCAGCCAATGACGCCCATGTCCCACGAGAGAATAAATTTTAAAAGCAGTTGCCTTTGAGAATGAGTTGTAACTGAAGGGATGTGCGACCACGACATAATAGAATTCCTCATCAAGATGGCGAGCCAAGGCAGATGGTGGAATTTGAATCCAATAAAACAAACCTGAATTAAGAGTCTAATGATGACCATGAATCCGTTGCCAATTGTTAGAAAAACCCATCTGGTTCACTAATGCCCTTTAGGGAAGGAAACTGCCATCCTTACCTGGTCTGGCCTACATGTGACTCCAGAACCACAGCAATGTGGTTGACTCTTAACTGCACTCCAGGCAATTAGGGATGGGCAATAAATGCTGCCTGGCCAGCGATGCCCTCATCCAGTGAATGAATAAAGAAAGAGTCATTTAGTTGATTCTGAGACTAGGGTCCTGAATTGAAATAGAGGAAATTAGGTTGGTACGATATGCAAGTTGGCTCTGACAGATAAGGAAATGTTAGTGAAAGAGATGTTGGTAGAAAGGCAATGAAAAACATTCAAAGAGTGCTTGGGTGAACTGCAACAGTTGTTTATTCCTGTCTGGCGCGGAAGTAAAATGGAAAAGGTGGCCATACCTATGAATGACAAGGAAAATTAGAATTAGTATAGATCCAAGGAAGAGGCTTACAAATTGGCCAGAAGGAGCAACAGACCAGAAAAGTTTAGAATTTAGCAAAGGAGAACAAAGGGATTGATTAAGATAGGCAAAGTAGAGTATGAGAGTAAGCTTGCGAGGAACATAAATCTTACGATACAAGTATGTGAAGAGAAAAAGACTGGTGAGGATAAATGTAGGTCCCTTACAGTCAGAAACAGGGGAATTTATAATGAGAAACCAAGGAATGGGTGACCAACTAAATATATACTTTAGTTCTACATTCACAAAGGAGAATGCAAATAACATACCAGCAATATTGGGGAACACAGGGTTTAGTGAGAAGGAGGAACTAAAGGAAATCAGTATTAGAAGAGAAATGTTTTTGGGGAAATTGATGGGATTGAAGGCCGAAACATCACCAGGGCCTGATAATCGACATCCAAAAGTACTTCAGGAAGTGCCCTAGAAATAGTGCAAACATTGGTGGTCATCTTCAAAATTTTTTTAAGCTGGAACAGTTTTTACAGATTGGGGAGCAACTAGTATAACCCCAATATTTAAAAGAGGAAGGCAGAGAGAACGCAGGGAATGATAGCTCGATGTCAGTGGTGGGGAAAATGCTAGAGTCCATTGTTAAAGAATTAATAAAATAGTGGACCATTTGGAAAACAGTGGCAGATTGGATACAGTCAGCACGGATTTACAAAACAGAGGTCATGCTTCACAAATCTACTTGAAATTTTCAAGGATATAACTTATAGGGTTGATGAGGGGGAGCCAGTGGATGTGGCTTATTTGGACTTTCAGAAGACTTTCGACAAAGTGCCAAAACAGAAACTTACGTATAAAATTAAAGCTCCTGGGATTAGGGGTAGAGCATTGAAATGGGTAGAAAACTAAGTGGCAGACAGGAAACAAAGAATTGGGCTAAATGAGTCTTTTTCTGAATGGTAGGCAGTGACTAGTGGGTGCCACAGGGATCAATGTTAGAACCCCAGATATTCACAATATATATTAATGGTTCAGATGAGGGAACTAAATGTAATATCTCACAATTTGCAGATGACACAGAGCTGGGCGGGACGGTGAGCTGTGGGGGGATGCAGAGATGGTTCAGTGCGATTTGGACCAGCTGAGTGAGTGGGAAAGTGCATGGCAGATGCCGTACAATGTGAATATATGTGAGGTTATCCACCTTGGGAGCAAAAACAGGAATGTGGGTTATTATCTGAATGGCAACAGATTGCGATACAGGAATGATTAAAAAGACAGAATGGTCTATTGCTGCTCCTATTTACCATTAGTCTACATTTCCAGTTAATGATATTACAGTGCACGGGGAAAAGGTAAAATATCTTACCTGAAAAGACCCGAGAATGAGATCAAAAACTAGCTTTATTTTCACTTCAAAGTTGTCCGGGAAGAATGCAAATACAATGTAATTGATTCCAAAAAGGGGAATCAGCAGAAGAGTTGACTTTGTGAGCCTCCTGTAAAAGGAATTAAAAAAAAATGACTTTAGAGACTTCAAGCAATTGGCTTCAAGGCTACTGTGCAGGTTCCATGATTGAATTAAAAGAAATACAAATAGACTCGGCACAAAACATTAGTGACATATGGAGCCTATCTTGAAAACATTCAAGATTTGTACATAACTAATTCAGCCTGAATTAGGTGCCAGTGATTATTTTAACAATAAGTGTCAATTCTCAAGTGTGGGGTCTCATTCCTTTGTCTGTTAATTGTCTCCTATTTTTAAAATGGGAACAATTAAGAGTATATATGTTTTTAAATGTTTTCTTTTCTAGCCCTTTTGTTGTGTCTTGTGCAATCCATCTTTATTCCCCTCTGTTCTGAGTTCTGAGGAAGGGTCACTCCATCCGAAACAGTAACTCTGATTTCTCACCACAGATGTTGCCAGACCTGCTGAGCTTTTCCAGTAATTTCTGTTTTTGTTTATTCCTCTCTCATCGGACAAAGTCTTATAGAATGGTAGAGTAGGCTTGAAAGTCCTTTTAATACTTTGTTTGTCCATTTACGTTTTACTGAGGCAGTGGATGTCTCAGCAAATGTCTGGAGGAAGCCGCGTGAACTACATTCCATCAGGCATTCTCAAGGGCACTTTGGGTGTTGCCGGGAATCAAGACTTCGGGGTGCAGAGGTCCTACCCAGCAAGAGCTGCCAGCCAATCAGAGGCTTGCACTCCAAAATGGAGGAGGTGCAAGGAGAGCACCCCCAGAGCTCCAGGATCATGGAGGATCCAGGACCAAGGGACTTGTAGATGGGAGTTTTCCCAAGATGGGGCTTGGTGGGAGAGGGGCCGGGACAGGAATCGGAAACATGGTCAAGGGACTGGCTGCCAGTAGGCAGCACTCCAGCCCCTGCTGCCCTATATCAAGTCCCTTGATTAGGCACTGAGTGCCTTTCATTGAAGGACTCTATACCCCACGGGGAAGAGCTACTGGCGGAATACTTTCATAAATAAATGTCCTTCTCATCTCCAAGCTCATCATCTCCTGAAACAGCAGGATCCCCTTTCCTCCACTACTATTTTTGTCATATCTGTTTGGCTTTGAATTTGGGAATATGACATCGAAGTAGAGGATCAGCCATGTTCCTATCAGAACATAAGAACCAGGAGCAGGAGTAGGCCATCTGGCCCATCGAGCCTGCTCTGCCATTTAATAAGATCGTGGCTGATCTTTCCATGGACTCAGCTCCACTTACCCGCCTGCTCACCATAACCCTTAGTTCGTTTACTGTTCAAAAATCTATCTTTGCCTTAAAAGCATTCAATAAGGTAGCCTCAACTGCTTCACTGGGCAGGGAATTCCACAGATTCACAACCCTTTGGATGAAGACGTTCCTCCTCAACTCAGGCCTAAATCTGCTGCCCCTTGTGTGAGGCTATGCCCCTAGTTCTAGTGTTACCCGCCAGTGGAAACAACTTCCCTGCTTCTATCCTATCTATTTCCTTCATAACTTTATGTGTTTCTGTAAGATCCCCCCTCATTCTTCTAAATTCCAGTGAGTACAGTCCCAGTCTACTCAATCTCTCCTCATAAGCCAACCCTCTCAATTCTGGAATCAACTTAGTGAACCTCCTCTGCAGCCAGGACAGACCAAAAACTGCACCCTGTACTCCAGTTGTGGCCTCACCAGCCCCTATACAGCTGCAGCATAACCTCCCTGTTTTTAAACTCAACCCTCTCGCAATGAAGGACAATATTCCATTTGTCTTCTTAATTATCTGCTGCAGCTGCAAACCAACTTTTTGTGTTATATTGAGGTAATGTTTAGTTCTGAGAGATTATTGATACATAAAATGCTGGGCTTTAGAGATGGCTAGAACTCTTAAAGAAATTGCAGTTCAAAGGTGAGTCATATTTGTTAAATAAAGTTACATTAGAAGGGACAAAGTTATGAAAGAGCAAATAGGCCTACTTACTAAAAAACTAAAGATGTGATGTCTGAAATCCTTGCAGTAATGACAGTCCAGAGAGATATTTTGTTTTGGGATTTGGAGCAAACTTGATTTTAAAATCCAGCGAGCCCCAAAAGATTTAAACCTCATTCACTTCAAGTGATCAAAGAAAAAATTGTCAATAAGGGATAAATAATTTAAAAGTTGATTTCGGGACTGCCCAGAGCACACTGTGTTGACATGGAGATGGTTGGAACTTAGAGAAACTCTTTAGCTTCAACCTATCTGGCTGTTTGCTGGGGGAATTAGTTGCAGTTGTGATTGGAACTCCCTGAGAAAAGTTAATCAAAGTAAATGACTATTTATATCAATAGGCCTGTGCTGTAAGCAGCTAATTAACTTCACAATTGACTGTGTGGAATATAGCCAAAACAATTTTTGGAAAAGTACCCAAGAAACTGACAAGATAGAGAAGCATCAACAAATCAAGAGAGGCTAAATTAAAGTTTTACTTTGGAGAATAGCTGAAACTGAGGAAAACTCTCCAGGGGACTGTAGCGTTGTTATGACTAGTTCCTATTGTTCCTTTTCTGTTCCTTTCCTATTGTTCCTCGTTCCTTTTCTGAAGAAGGGTCCAGACCATGAAACGTCAGCTTTCCTGCTCCTCTGATGCTGCCTGGCCTGCTGTGTTCATCCAGCTCTACACCTTGTTACTTCCTATTGACATAGCTATCTTTAAGATTACTATATTTTACAAGAGAATTCTACAGTAAAATAGGAAGAATGTATAACACAGAATGCTAAAACATATTAAATTAACAGTGCCAGTATTAGAATGTAGAACAGTATGGCCCTTCGGCCCACAATGTTGGCCACACATGGTGCCAAATTAAGCTAATCCCTTCTGCCTGTCCATGGTCCGTATCCCTCTATTCCTTGTTTATCCATGTGTTTATCTAAAAGCCACTTAAACACCCCTACCATGTCTGCCTTCACCTCCACCCCTGGCAATGCTTTCAAGGCACTGACCATTCTCTGTGTAAAAAAATTGCCCCTCACATCTCCTTTGAACTTCCCCCCCATCACCTTAAATACATGCCCCCTAGTTTTAGACATTTCAAATCTGGGAAAAAAGATTCTGACCGTCAACCCTTTCTATGCTTTATACTGTTTAATTCTTTTATTTACAATAATTTTTGTTTTTGCTAAAAGTAGTAAAACAATGTGGTGCAATTCTATTGGTTAAAATGAGATATTTATATTTAATCTTTTAATGTTAATGCAACGATGTGATGTAGGAGCGGAAGTAGGCCATTCAACCCGTCAGGTCTGCTCCGCCATTCAATGGGATCATGACTAATCTGCTAATCCCCAACTCCACTTCCCTGCTTTTTCCCTATAACCCTTGATTCCCCTTCCTGATTAAAAGGCCCTCAGCCTTGAATATACTTAATGACCCAGCCTCTGCAGCCCAGTGTGGTAAAGAATTCCGCAGATTCACTCCCCTCAGATAGAAGAAATTCATCCTTATCTTTGTCTTAGAAACATAGATGATAGGAGTAAGAGGAGGCCATTCAGCCCTTCGAGCCTACTCCACCATTCTTCACAATCATGGCTGATCGTCCAACTCAATAGCCTAATCCTGCTTTCTCCCCATAACCTTTGATCCCATTCGCCCCAAGTGCTATATCTAGTCGTCTCTTGAATAGATTCAATGTTTTGGCATCAACTACTTCCTGTGGTAAAGAATTCCACAGGCTCACCCTCTTTGGGTGAAGAAATGTCTCCTCATCTCCATCCTAAATCATCCACCCCGAATCCTCATACTGTGACCCCTGGTTCTAGACACACCCACCATTGGGAACCTCCTCCCTGCATCTACCCTGTCCAATCCTGTTAGAATTTTATAAATCTCTATGAGATCCCCCACTCATTCGTCTGAACTCCAGTAAAAACGATCCCAACCGAGTCAATCTCTCTGCATATGTCAGTCCCACCATCCCTGGAATCAGCCTGGTAAACCTTCGCTGCACTCCCTCGAGAGCAAGGGCATCCTTCCTCAGAAAAGGAGACCAAAATTGCACACAGTATTCCAGGTGCGGTCTCACCAAGGCCCTGTATAACCGCAACAACACATCCCTGCTCCTGTACGTGAAACCTCTTGCAATGAAGGCCAACATACCATTTACCTTCTTTACCGCCTGCTGCACCTGCAATGCCTACCTTCAGCATCTGGTGCACAGGGATACCCAGGTCCCGCTGCACACTCCCCTCTCCCAATTTACAGCCATTCAGGTTGTAACCTGCTGCCTTGTTTTTGCTTCTGAAGTGAATAACCTCACATTTATATAAATTATACTGCATCTGCCATTGATATGCCCACTCACCCAACCTGTTGAGATCATGCTGAAGTATCTCTGCATCCTCATCACAGTTCACCCTCCCACCCAACTTGGTATCATCTGCAAACTTAGAGATGTTACATTTTGTTCCCTCATTCAAATCATTAACATATATTGTGAATAGTTAGGGTCCCAGCACCGATCCCTGTGGCACCCCACTAGGTACTGCCTGCCAATTTGAAAAGGACCCATTAATTCTGACTCTTTGTTTCCTCTCTATCAATCAGTTTTCTATCCATCTCAAAACACTTCCCCCAATACCATGAGCTTTAATCTTACACATTAATCCCTTTTGTGGGACTTTGTCAAATGCATTCTGAAAGTCCAAATATACTACATCGACTGGCTCCCCCTTCTCAACTCTACAAGTTACATCTGCATAGAATTCCAACAGATTTGTCAAGCATGATTTCCCCTTCATAAATCCATGCTGACTCTGTCTGATCCTGCCACTGCTTTCTAAATGCTCTGCTATAAAATCCTTGACAATGGATTTGAAAATTTTCCAATGTTAGGCTCACTGGTCTATAATTCCGCTTTCTCTCTTCCTCCCTTTTTGAATATTGGAGTGACATTAAATGTCTTAAATGTGGGATTCCTAATTCCAGAGTTATGTCCTCTGGTTCTTGACACTTTCACGAAGGGATGATCCCCTTAATGATCCCTCACTGAATTGGAATGCTGTTTACTGGTGTTCCAGGAGGCCAGTTCCCCTCACAATGATATTAACAGCTGACAAACTGTGGTGTGAGATATAGTCAAGATTGAATGGACAAGAGTATGGTGATGGATGTTGCTACAACATTGAGAAGAACACTTACGAATATTGACTGATATCGTTGAGCCCAACATCTGGTGTGTGGAGTTTTTGAACCAGGATTCGAATGATACAGATGAAGAGAATAAAGTTTACCTAAAGAGGGAAAACAAGGTTAAAGCATTTGAACATAAGAAATAGGAGTAGACCAAAGATCCCATTGCGCTGACTCTGATATTCCAAATGATCAGGCTGATGGCTGGTTTCACTTTCCCACCTACTCCCTCAATTCCCAGACAAACCAAAAATCGCAACCTTAAATGTATTCAACAATGAAGCACCTGTAGTATTCCGGGATGCAGAATTCCAAAGGTTGCTCACCATCTGTGCGAACAAATTTCTCCTCATCTCAGTCCTAAATGATTGCCCACCTCTAGCTAGAGAATAAGGTGTTATAACTCGCCAAGCCAGGATAAAAAGCCTCTCAGTTTCTTGACCCCTGTCAAGCCCCTTTACAATCTTGAATTCAAATTGCTTCTTATTCTTCTAAAATCCGGAGAATATAGACTCAATTTACTTGGCATCTCAGCCTAGGATCACTCTCTTATCCCAGGGACCAAGCTGGTGAAGTCCCCAATACAAGTATATCCTTTCCCAAGTATAAAGATCAAAAGGGCACAAAAGTATTCCTGATATACTCTCATCAAAACTCTCTTCAACTGTGGCATGACTTCCTTATTTTTAGAGTCCAATCCCTTTGCAATACAGGTCAACATGATATTTGCTTTTCAAATTCTTTGTTAGAATTGGGAAGCTCAATGTACATCTAGCCAATGAATTCCAGTGATAACCTGATTGCTACTATGTCCCTGTCTCCTTGACTACTCTCATACAATTGCTGCATGGCCTGTACCTATGTGCTAGTAACAAAAGCTGGAAATGCACAGCAGTTTAGTGACTGAAAATGAAAGGTTACCTGGGATCACAGGTGGAGCTGGCTCTGCAAAAGGGGACTCTACACAAAGCAACAGTCCATTCTTTCTCTTTCCCAGACTGAACTCCTGACTGGTTTTCCAGTGTTTACCTGAGATTCACCAATGGTCAATGGGTAGAGAGCTTCAGGGTCCTAGCATCTGATCCATGCGAGTGTAAGGAGACTTAAGCTGTCCCTGTATAAACTCAGGCTAAGTCCAAGGCCTTGAAAGCAAAAGCAGCCGTTTTGAAGGGAGTTCATAGTCACAGACAGAAGAAAATTAGGATGACACCTACCTTAAGGAGACCAAGGACACTCAGACTGAGAAGACAACTCAAGTATCCCAGAAAGATTGCTCCCAGGAGGAATAAATTGGACTATTAAGCTATCATTAAGTTCCCTCTGACCACTGAGTCAGCTATGAAGAAAATTGAGCCCAACAATACTTTACTTTTCATTGTTGATATCAAGGCCAACAAACATCAGATCAATAGGCTGTCAACAAATTACATGATGTTGATGTAGCTAAAGTCTTATCAGGCCTGATGGTGGAAAGAAGGCATATGTATGACTGGCCCCAGACTACGACGCATTGGATGTTGCTAATAAGATTGATATAATCTAAACTGGCTTCACGAAGAACTGTACAAATACTTCAATAACATTTTCAAAAGAGTTCTTTTGGTAGTGTACATTGTTCCAATAGATCAAAAGAAATAACTCAATTTTCAATCCTTTTGGGAAAAAAAATGTGTCAGGAAGATCAATGTGACTGGTTACTGAGTTATGAAGGTGGTGGGGGTTGGGGATTGTAACTCCTTATGTCAAATGGGAATGAGAGTTAAAATTCAAGAAGTATGTCTCACACCCAATACCGTTCCCTATTGTAATTTGGCTCATTGTCGGGACAATGTCTCACTTAAATTAGAGCCATCTGCATTGATCGATCTGTGCTCTTTTAACTGTCTCCTGACCAAGGTGCAGATACACTAAGGGGGAAACTCAGCAAACTCGACTGTAAAACTTATTTATCAGAGTTGTAGAGAGACCTTCCTTCTTAGGTCACGACTGTACAAAACGTCTCATCCTTACCTCCCTTTATCCCTAATCTTGTGCAGCTCACTTGTCTATGCCACTCTATACTCAGATGCCTCAGTGATGCAAGGAGGGAGCTCAATAAAGGTTTACCAGACTGAGTCTGGGATGGCAGTGCAGACAGACAAAGAGGGACTGGATCGGTTAGGACTATATTCACTGGAATTTAAAAGGTTGGTGGGGATCTCATAGAAACATGTAAAATTCTATCAGGACTAGACAGGCTAAATGCAGGAAGCATGTTTCCGATGACTGGTTAGCTCACTACCAGGATCATAGTCTATGGATATGGGTAAGTTATTTAAGACTGAGATGAGGAGAAATTTCTTCAGCAAACAGTGAAGATCCTGCTGAATTCTCTGCCAGAGGAAGCCGTCAAGGCCAAAACATTCAATGTTTTCAAGAAGGAGTTACATGTCGTTCTTAAGGCTGAAGCGATCAAAGGGTATGGGGAGAAAGTGGAAACAGGGGACTGGGTTAGATGATCATACTAAATGATGGAGCAGGCTCAAAGGCCTACATCCTGCTCCTTATTTTTCCCTTTACTCATGGCATGAGGGCTTCACTGACCAGGCAGCATTCATTGTCCATCCCTAATTGCCTAGAAGGCAGTTAAGAATCAACCACATTGCTTTGGGTCTGGAGTCACATGTAGACCAGATGAGGTAAGGATGGCAGTTTCCTTCCCTAAAGAGCATTAGTGAACCAGGTGGGATTTTCCCCCCCTGTCAATTGACAATGGATTCATGGTCATCATTAGATTCTTAATTCCAGATATTTATTGAATTCAAACTCCACCATTTGCCGTGGCAGGATTTGAACCCAGGTCCCCAGGTCTCTGGATTAACAGTCCAGCGATAATACCGCTAGGCCATCGCCTCCTCTTTTCTATGTTTCTATGAGGGAGAGCAGATGTTCAGTCAAGGTATTTAAAACAGCAATGGATGATCTTTTAAGCTGAAACGAAGTGTGCTGTCAAAGGCAGGAGATTGGGCTCTAAGTTAGAAGGCTTGCAGAGTCGGTGCAGATATGAAGGGCTGAATGGCCCCCTTCTGCCCCACAACAGTTCTGTGAAGTGTATGGCCCTGTACATCCCCTGCAGCTCCTGGGATGATAGCCCATCTTCTCAATGGCTTCAACCCAGGAGTTAAAATTCCCATGTTCAACAGCAATTTGAGCACTGTGTCCTTACCAAGATAGAGACCAGAATGGGAGCCCGAATGATCCACCAGTACGGAGAGTCGATATTGAGCCAACATCTAAAGGATAAAGGAATAAAACTGGCTTAGACTAAGTGGACCCAGATAAATCACTGAAACCCCAGCAACCCACATGGGTTAAGTTAAACGCATATTCTCTCCAATCATGTCAAATCTCTTTCACATGGTCTCACCTCCTCACATCTATGCTCAGATCTACTCAGTGGACTTCCGATCTGATCACCTCTTCCTAATCTTTGGGTGCTGAGATTTAATTACAGTCCTGCTCTATTTGGGAGGAGCGAACTCCTGGCTTATTCATCTCGTTGTTTCCATAAATCACAGGGTGGCATGGTGGCTCAGTGGTTAGCACTGCTGTCTCACAGCACCAGGAACCTGTGTTCGATTCCAACTTTGGGCGACTGTCTGTGTGGAGTTTGCACATTCTCCCGTGTATAATGGGGCTTCCTTCAGGTGCTCCGGTTTCCTCCCACAGTCCAAAGCTAGGTGGATTGGCCATGCTAAATTGCCTGTAGTGTTCAGGGATGTGTAGATTAGGTGGGTTATAGGGGGATGGGTCTATGTTGGATGCTCTGAGGGTCGGTGTGGACTTGTTGGGCCGAAGGGCCTGTTTCCAAGCTGTAGGGATTCTATGATGATGAAATAATTTCTTGGGCTGCAAATTACTTCAGGTTATATTAAGTCACAGAGTCAGGCTCTACCACCCAAATGGTCTATGCTGGACATTTATACTGCCTCCTTTAACCCTAGCAGCATATCCATCTATTCCTCTCTTTCTCATGTGTTTATCTAGATTCACGTTCATGGTCCCACTAACTGCAATGGACCTGGAGTTACATGCAGGCCAAACTAGGTAAGATTACACTGGTATCTACCTGACAATGTGGAAAATTGCCCAAGTATGTCCTGTACATAAGAAGCAGGACAAATCCAACCCAGATATTACTGCCCTATCAGTCTCCTCTCGATCATCAGTAAAGTGATGGAAGGTGTCATCAACAGTGCTATCAAGCAGCACCTGCTCAGCAATAACCTGCTCAGTGACGCCCAGTTTGGGTTCTGCCAGGGCCACTCAGCTCCTGATCTCATTACAGCCTTAGTTCAAACATGGACAAAAGAGCTGAATTCCAGAGGTGAGGTGAGAGTGACAGCCCTTGACATAAAGGCCGCATTGTAACAAATATGGTATCAAGAAGCCTAAGCAAAACTGGAATCAATGGGTATCGGGGACAAACTCTGTAATGTTTAAAGTCATGCCTGGCGCATAGGAAGATGGTTGTGATTGTTGGAGGTCAGTCATTTGAGCTCCAGGCCATCTCTCAGGAGTTCCTCAGGGTAGTGTCCTCAGCCCAACATCTTCAATTGTTTGATGATTAATGTACAACATGAATAATTCTGATCCCAACACCGACCTGAGGAACCTCACTAGTCACAAGCTGCCATCCTGAAAAAGGCCCCCTTATCCCAATTCTCTGTCTTCTGCCAGTCAGCCAATCCTCTATCCATGCTACTACCTTGCCCCTAACACCCAGGGGGTCTTATATTATTTAGCAGCTTCCAGTGTGGCCCCTTGTCAAAGGCCTTCTGGAAATCCAAATAGATCATGTCCACTGGCTCTCCTTTGTCTAATGTGCAGGACAAAGTAACAATCATGTCACACAAGTGCAAGGCAATCTCAAACAAGAGAGAATCTAACCATTTTCGCTTTGACACTCCATGCTGTTACATCACTGTCCACATCCTGGAGGTTACCATTGGCCAGGAACTGAACTGGACTAACCATATAAATACTGTGCCTACAAGAACAGGCCAGAAACTATGCACATGTAGCAGGTAACTCACTTGATATCTCCCTAAAACCTGTCCAACATCCAGCAGGCATAAGTCAGGAGTGCGATGGAATACTCCCCACTTGCCTGGATGTGCTCCAGCAACGCTCAAGAAACTCTGCACTATCCAGGACAAAGCAGCCCGCTTGATTGACACTACATCCACAAGCATCCACTCCCTCCCCCACCAACGTTCAGTAGCAGCAGTGTGTACTATCTACAAGATGCATTGTAGGAATTCACCAAAAGATCCTTAGGCAGCATCTTCCAAACCCATGACCTATATGGGAACACCACCACTTGCAAGTTCCCCTCCAACCCACTCACC